GGGGGGCGCTAGAGCAGCCCTCCCTTCCCTTCTGCAGGGAGCTGAGCTGAGGAGGGGCATGGCCAGGGCCCAGGACTCTCTCACTAGGGTTGTCTGCCTACGCGGTCCCAACCTTTTCCCCACTGGCTACTCAAGGGATGGGAGTGTTGCCAGCCCCAGGCTAACACTCTGAGGCAAAGTGGGGTGTGCAGTGCGTGCATCTGTTAATTATACAGAGCTTTTCAGTCTCCCTCCCTGCTTCATCATACTGTCTGCAGCAAACTGACAGGCAAGCAAGCCAGCCAGGGGGCTGATAATAGCTTTTATTACTCCATTAGCAAAACAATAGCCTCTCTCCACATTATTTCAAACAGCTTACTGGCTGACCTGTTGATTAGCTCCAAAAGCCCTAAGCGATCACTGTTCTGTCTGCCTGTCCCAGTGAAATTGGAGAGAAAGACTCACACAGACAACTCTCAGCATTAGCTAGCATACCACATGCTGGCTACGGTCCATGCTGTGGCAGAGAGGAGGAAGGGATTTCTGCTTAAGCAGCAAATGGTGAGAGGGTAGGGAGAGGGGGGCCCAGGGAAGCCAGCAAACCCTACTGTGCCTGCACGTCTGTGCCAAGCTCCAGCCAGGGAGCGAAGGGGAGGGGCCAGCCCTGTTGTGGAGCAGAGAGCCCTGCCCAGCCCAGAGAGCATGCAGGGATGCTGAGGGACTCTGATTTAACTTAAACCAGCAAGCGGTCTGAGACACACATTGCATAAACCGGTGTGAGCCAAATCAGTTAAGTCTGATACTACACTCAACTGGGTTTATCTCAGACCGGTTTCAGCCATTTTCAAACTAGCTTATGTGCACTGAACATCTGTTCTGTTACAGGTTTAAACCAGTTTCTGATCACTTAAAATGATTTATATGTAATGTCTATCCCTAGCCCTGGAGGTCCCTTCCAATCCTACTTCTCTATGACACTCACAGACAAGTGCTGACTTTATTATTTGAGAGTTTTGGATTAATTCCACTGACCAGACCCATCAGTGTGGTAACTTACTATTCAGTAAATGAATTCCAATAAAAGAAGGTGTGACAGAAATCCCATATCTCACTTCTTTTGCATTCAAAGCAGTATGCCACTACAGAACAGTATCACTATAATTTACTCCAAAAGAGAGAAAATCATTTTAAAATGGTATTCTAAATTCCTAAAAATTAGAAGTGAGACTTAAGGGAAGGTGTAACACTTTAAATTCATGTTAGCAAGATGTCAAGTTGACCAGGATGTTTTAATTAATTATGTCCAGAGAAATCTCACTGTATCAAATTATTCAAGCCTCATAAACATTTTCAAAAGGGATGACTACATATCGTTTGATAAATGTGGTCATTGCTGTTTAGGTGTTTGGTCCCTAACACATTAATTTTTACTGTAATAATAACTTACTTGTGATTTCTAAACCTTAGATGAGGGTTATTGAATGATTTACCCACATCTTGTTGTTTGTATGCTAGCATCAAATGACACAAATCTTATATCTGGGTAGCCATGCTAAAAAGTTTATTGCTATATCTTGTATGCTATTCTTGTAGTAATGCTAGTGATACAGAGGTGGGTACAAACACCTCTTTGAGTCACAATAGTGCACTCCTGTTGTGGACTGAATTTTGTCTTGGTTATTTTCTGAGAATATGCACATACACAGTATGTACAAGTAGCAAAATCATCCATGAAGTTTTGTCTCATTAGTGGTAAGAAGTGAAGAGTACAGTGGGAACATGTTTCCTGACTAATACTTAGTAACAGTATATTACTGTTATTAGTATATATTACTGAATTTTAGTATACTCTAGTGGGAGAACATACTAAACCAGCAGGCCTCCAAGTGTGAGAGCTGCCCAGCTCAGTCCTCATCTGTCAAAACTGAAAAAGAACAAGGTTAGAACACTCATAAAGATGGGTCTTTTTTGCTAACATTCACTTTGAAAGGAACTGTCCATTACACTTGAGCCAGAACCACCATATTTACAGATACTGTGATAAGAGTTGAGAACAAGTAAATTAGATTGAAACATGCACTGTGGCTCTCTATTGATAATTCACTCCATAAAGCAGTTTAGTATGGTTTACTCACCACCAAAGGCCTCTGTGATTGCCATGCTTTCAATCCCACCACCCAGCAGTTTGCTGGAGAGAGAGAGAAAGTTAAAAGGCAGTTAGGTTCACAAGTGAGAGTAATGAGAAAGGCAATCTTTTGTCCAAAGGGCTCTGCACTTAACCCATGAAGTAGCAGACCAGAGTATGAGGGCACTAGATGGCCCTTGGTTCACTTTATCTCAGTTTCCCCTTGCGCAGGTAGGTGCTCAGGAGAAAGTTTGTAAAAAGTGGTAATTTGGGAGAGAAATGAGAGGAAAATGTCTCTGGGAAGATAAGATTTAATAACCAGTAACTGTGGGATTAATTTGAAACCTAATCTATTTATTTATCCAATTTTTCTATTCCTTTTCTGCTAACATTAAGTGTTTTTATCTGTCATTGAGTGCACCATAACTTTGTCCTCAACAAAAAGTCAGTAAGACCTTAAGAACAAGTAACTTTTAAAAGCAGGACATAGTACATACTTTGATCCAAGTGGTTGGCCAAAATTCAGGGCTCTGCTGGTATTTTCCAGTAGGTGGAGATGTTGAAGTAGTCAGGTATCTTTGATGCAATCCTGTTTATTTACAACAAGTGTACAAAACTCGGTTTCCCTCAACACAGGAGGTAGAGTAGTTTCTTTGCTCACAGCTTCAAGTTTCTTTCAGACAGCACTGGACCCAAAGTTCTCTTAACATTTTTTCTCAGGGCTATGATCAGTGCTTGTTCCAGTTGTGGCTGGAGCTTCTTACCCTGCATATCTGTTTTCTCTGGTGTTTCTCTTCCTTCTCATTCTACAAATACACTCTAGCAGTTTCATATGCACTTTTGTTATGAGTAGTGATGTGCATAAATTTTGGATGAAGATCCTTACTGTATCATAAAGGAGCTCATTTGTTTCTCACACCCTTCTTTTAGAGGAAGGATAGAAGTTACCTCCATCAGTTTCAATGATATTTCATCAGACCCACAAATACTTTGCCAAGCCAAGGAGAAATGCATATTCTGCACCACTAAATTTGAGACAGGTACAATGTGCACTAGTCAACACCCTACTTCCTCTTTGTTCCTTCTGTAGGATGTTGAGCAAGCTGAAGAAGCTTGAAGCAGCAGCCCCTGTAATTAGGAGCATGCAGGGATTTGAATTGTACATTGCACTTGTGCAAAGAATACAAAAGAAGACACAGCCTTTTGTGTTCTTTCTGCACAAACCAAATAGCCTATTCCTAATGAAGAATGTCTTGCTTTCAAAAGCTTATCTAACTCTCTCCCAGCTACAGTTGGTCCAATAAAAGATACTGCCCTAAGAAATTCTTACCTCACCAAATTTTTGAGAAATAGTTCTACTTCTGAGTAGGGTTTTGCTGGTGAACCATAATGCCATCTTGCACACAGGCTGCATCATTTCTGGAAAGGTGGCTTAACAAAATTCCCCTCACAATTCTGTTCTCTTAGGATGTTCCAGAACAGCCGAACAGGTCTGATTTGGATACTAGACTTTCTTCATTCCCAGAATTTAAACTTTGGGATTTCGTCTTCACCGAAGTGACATGCTCCCCAGGTATAGCATGGTGCTATGGTGATGTAGGGGCTAAAAACAACCATGCGCTTCTTGCACAGCACAGTAATGGCTGGTACTGCGCCATCATTTAGTACTTCCACAAGGAAGTACCAAATGACAATGCAGTAACAATGGGGCTATAGGGGCACATGTAGACACACCCAAATGCTGGCAAAAATGGAGGCTGTAAGATAAGTGGGAATTAGGCTTTTAATAATTGCCATCGCGCCTTGATCAGAGAAAGGTTTCAATTGCTTTCTTGAAGGTAATCTCACTGAGCATCTATACACGATCAGTGAGGCTGCTCCAATGTGCTGTAATTAGTGTGTCGGAGCAGACTCAGTTAATTGAGTCTGCTGGCACAAGGTAATTACTGCGCTCCAGCAATCTCCAGCATTTTGTGTAACAGCGTCCTCGTGCTTAAAAACGGTGGTGGGGGCACTTTATCTAAAGTTCATTTGACAAGCTTAAGATAAAGCACCCCTGCTGCCATTTTTAAGTGCAGGTATGCTGATACATGAGATGCTCCAGGCACTTTAATTAGAGGATAGGTCTGGATTAGATAGAGGCCATACAGATGTATATTTGAAGAACTCCAAATTCCACTCCATTTTAGAGCCATTCAGATTCATAGCACTTCAGTGTATGCGCCCTGCCAGAGATCCCCAATGATGCGCCCTGCCACAGATCTTCAAAACTGTTGTGACAGCATGCAGCAATGGTGTTATCCAGCCAGGGGATGCAATAGGGGTTATTTGGACCCTCAATATCCCCAGTTGTGTCAGGACAGGCCTCTCTTGGTCTGCCACCTGGTGCTACATAAACCAGTACAGCCTGTTCCATGGTTGGGTTGTCGGCAACTAAACTGGCACTGCCACCTGGATTAACCTGGGTGAGGAGGGTGTGTGGACGCCTAGTAGGATTAAAAACAAGACCTGTCAAAGGGTGGGTGAGGAGCAAGTCAATGGCCATCCTGCGGGCCAATGGCCATCTATACCTGG